GAGGCACAACGCGGTAGGTACCCCACTGAAAGTATGCAACTCTAAATTGTGACTTGCCTAGCGGATACTGTAGGATCCCCCCCACCCCCACCCGTACCCGCCATAAAACGTTTGCTTAAAACTCTGTAGTGAACCGTGACATATGGGGGATTGGAGGGGGGGTGCGTAACATAGGAGCACATTATATTTTTTTCTGCTCTCTTTTTTGCACATCATTTCATTGACTGAGCTCTCAGGCACGCGGCCCCCACCCCAGCGGCTCTGCTGCCGTATATGGCAGCTGTGACAGGGGTCCCCGGCGGCTTCTAACTGTGTCATTGATCTGCTGCCACTCCGATGGCTCGCCGCACGCACCCAATCTCCAGCAGGAATCTACTGCGGGGACTTCCCTCACACAGTGACCACTCAGCTCCGCCCCCATCGTCCCCCCCCCCCTCCCTACTTCCTGTCATCTCGCCTGACTTTGCATACATGCCGTACAGCCATCGCGCCTCCCGCGCTTCTGCCCTTGCTGCGCTAATTGATCGGGGCGATTTTTGGTTGTTCTGCCAGCGTGCTTTCTCTGCGGCGAAATCTGTCGAGCAAGCAGCGGGATTAACAGCGGCCCCTCGCCCTGTCACTCAGGTCTCGAAAGCACTGACGCCGTCTGTCAGAGCTCGATGGGCCTGACAGCCGTGCCACAATGGACGGCGGGTTTGGCGCTCACGTTGCCTTGTCCAGCTTCATAACCGGCAAACCGTGTGGATCGCCGTTCCGCCATAACGGAAGCCTTCTTTATCGTCAAGGTTTCTCCAATTTGGAGGCATCCAGCTCCACTGAATTTCAGGCCGCCTGTGGCTCCACAAGCTGTGACATCATGAACCTTATCTAAGCGGTGTTGCACGAGTTGGGCATTTCCGAGATGTAGAATAAGGGAGGATTCCTCAAGGCCAGGTGGTGACAAGTGTTTTAACCAAATTGTGACGAACATTACCTTTTTTTTCTTTTTAAATGTGTTTTTTTTCTTTCTTTGTTTTTTTCACAGCCAGTCACCCACACATGTGCAAATGAGCAGTGGTACCACCTCTGCCTCTATTTGAACTCGGAAATACCACAACAGTTTGTTTGTTATTTAGCATGACAGAATGTGTAGCATATATTTGCTGCTCGCATTTTTTTTTTTTCAGCCTTGGACCATTTTGGTGCATCGGGTAATAAGATAAAGAGTTTGACTCTCCAGGGCTGTTTCCCTGGCAACGTGCTGTACTCGCTTTCATCTGATATCTCCTCACCTGCTTGGTGGCGCCGCAGAAAAAGCTTGCATGTTGGCCGCAATGGTCAAGAACGCCTTGCAGCACGCTAATAGGCACAAATGAACTTTCATTGATGATGACACTAACTCCAGGTCATGCTATAATGAAGTGAAAGTCTTTTCAATTTGTAACCGTGTTAGACAGAAAATTGCATGATTGACATTCACGCAGGGTTGCCCCTGGCTCAAATGGAGGCGACTGATCCCCGACCGGACCGCCGGCGCTTGCCCGACAGCATTTCACAGCATCGATGCGTCATCTGGCGCCCATCCGGTTACCGTACGTCGGCAGGCGTCAGCGCTAAGTGCCCACTCCTCGTTCGACGTCTTGATGACTGTGACGTTCCATTCCCAACCGACTGCTAATTTGGCCCCAGGTGTAGGATTTTTGTGGCATGAATTAAAGCTTGCGGAGGGCGAAAAAAGCTGCGCGCGTGAAGGCGTATTATGACTTGCGGAAGGCAGTCGTCTTTGACACTGCTCCCTCGCGACGCTTGTGTTCACTTCCCGTTTGCGTCTTGATTGCCTCTGATGCTCCCGGCAGCCCTTTTTCTGGGCTCTTTCCCTTTCTACCTCAGCGATCCGTGCGAGGCACCTGCTGCTATCCCGCGCCGCATGGCGTCGTTCCCTTACTGCACGCAGATGTAATCAGCTCACTCAAATACACTTAGCTCCAAAGCGTCGCTCTGCGAGGCGTTTTGTTCAGGCCGCCTTCCATCACTAATGCATCATGAAGTGCTGCGCGCAAATTTCTAAGCGGTCCTTTTTGCCAGCAGCACTCCACAGCCTGCAGGCCCAATATTGTAGCAAGTCCTTCCTTTATTAAGTTTCGTTCTTAAATTGACTGAATCTGTTCCATCCTTTTTGGTGTAGCTGCTGCAGTCCTTTGCCATGTCAACTCAACCTTTCGTTATGTCAGAGCTTTCGTCAAGACCAGCGATGTTAAACTCGGATGCATCTGAGTTTACAATGGACTCACAAGCATATCGTATGATGTCCTTTCCAATTAAGAAAATTGATCATCTCTGGAGAGTTGGGTGGCACTTGTTGGCCCACTCAAGGCTTTGCACCCAAAGTTTTTTTTTTCCAGCGAATGGATGATGCTCGACGTATTTCATTAGCAGATGCAGCAATTACTCTCAAGCTACTGGTCATATTGCGCTGACTCCGCTTTATGAAAGCACATCTAAACTCGTTCATTTCTTTCTGGCATTCTGAAGGGACCCCGTGGTTGCCTTTGTGTCAAATGTGGCTTCTTTGGTGGACAAGTGACAAGCCGAGCGTTGGACGTCGCCTGGGGGCTCCGCACCACGCACCGTCAGCTTTTTCACCGGGACTCATTTTGCTATGAAATGGGAAGATGGTGTGCGAATTCTCCAGCTCATAGCAAACCCTGCCTGCGGTCTTTAAACTCGCTTCTTCTCGCTGGCCAATACACAGACAACCGGTCGACGTAGTTTTATTTCAACGTACCTCGGCAAGTTCATTTCAACTGCTGCTATCACAGCAGATTCAAGCCTGCAGAGCAGCTCGCCGTCGACATCCGCAAAGGGACGGACAGGCGGTTGAATTCATGAAAGGGAGAGGCACAATTGCAGCGTTTTGAGCGTCACGCTTCACATCGTGCGACGCGCCGGCAGCCGTGAAAATGATGGCTGAACGAACACGGGGACAGATGCCTTGTTTTTAATCGCCGTGCTGGCGATGGCATTTCTTGTTTTGGGACACGCACGCTTCCAGCCTGCCATTACTATGTCCCATATAATCATTTGGCAGAATTCAGCGTTAATGGAGGGCTGTTGAAAATTCCATAAGGGGGAAAGTTGAGTGCTTCCACTGTCCTGGCTGGAGGCAATGAAAGAAGGATGTGTTGAGGACAACAAGCGCTCCTTTCTCTGGGGTTATGCTTGCTGAGGTCTAGTGTTATTCTTTTTCAGAGTCTTATGTCACCTTCGGCGGCCTGCTCGCCATTCCCAGGTTTGTGGGAACTCCCATCTGAAAGGGTCGCATTGTTGCTCTGGGTGTGCCAGTGGCAGCACGACGGCAAGCATTTTAGTCACCGTTACAGACTCGACCCGAAAACCAGACGTCGCCGAGTTCTTTTATTGACATCAAAGAGAAGCGTGGGCCTCCGGTCAGAAGGCCTGGCCTTCAGGTTTGAGTGTCGCAGCAGGTGCTAAGAGGAGGTCGACCCAGGACCTTGTGTAATTCGATATTTGACGCTGGGTTGTCATTGCCCCAGATACCTGAGGGGAGCCTTGTCGTCGAGTCTTTCACAGCAAGTACAGTTCGTTTGTAGCTCGCCTATTCGGAGGGAAAGATGCATTCAAATACGCCGTCCTCAGCAAGCGTTGCTCAATTTCATTTAATACCTTCGATAAATCTCCAACGCTCCTTCACCCCTAATTTTTAGAGCAGACCTTGTACAAAAACAAAGCAGCAAGCGAGAGAAAACAAAAGTCATTTGCCAGACGCTTTTCAACGTGGAGTTCCCATATTGCAAGCCGTTGTAGAGCATTTGGACTCATTTTTCATGACCCGCAGAATCTTGTGTACTAAGACACTATCAACGCTGAGACTATCAAAGTAAAGGGCAACGCTTCAACTCCTGCACGGTCGCAACTTAAAAAGACGCACTTTGGAACTGGAAACGTGGGACTGTTTTTGATTTCAGGTGAATCGGTGCACCGTAGTACTGCCCCAATTGGATCCATAGCCCAAAAAGTATTGTCTTTGCTACACATCCACACATCTTTCACCACAATGTTATTTTTTTTTTTCCTTCAGTAATCTGCAGTTTGTGCCAATGCCTTTGACGCTAATAGATATAGAGAGTTTGCTTTTATCACCTGGAACTATGAAACAATCAAATCAAGACCGAGAAAGGGCTTTTGGTGGCCAAATATCAACTAAGAAAGGCGGCGTTAGCAACACCGACTCACCGCATGGCTCAAGTTGAATGCCAGCGGCTTTTATTACATGCCCTCATCTTTTCTCACAATCTCGACACATGTCGTTGATACCACGCTTTTCGATATTCTGTTTGAACGTGAGGTGCCGAAACTTTTTCGACTTCCGCTGAATTGGCATTTCTCTCCCTCACGAGCCACGGGACAAGTCGAAGTGTATCCCGATCTGGCTGTCCGTACAGTGGTTTAGAAATATTGGCAGACAAACTAATGTCATTTTGAACGTAGAGACAGAAGCGTGTTGACGAATAATGTCTCTATAAGCCAAAATGGAATTATCCAGAAGTGTCCTACACGGTCTGGAAAAAAATTCGTTTTGTTTCGGAGCAGTCGAACTATCACGTTTCTGCATCTATAGAAATGTGCCGTTTTAACACACAGCTGTTGCATAGATTTAAAAACGGGTCAGTTGGGACACCAAATATCATTTCACTTAGCGAGGGGATGCCAAAGTCCAGGTCTGGTTTCCGCTGATGTCACCTTCAGCGAGGATGCATGTCACGCACTCATAGCCCGCAGCACACGAGTCTTGGCTTCAAGCGTCACACCTGTTCGATGTGCAAAGCCTGCACCGAGTGAAATCTTCTTCTCAAAAGAAGCCACGCTCCGCAAGTGTTTTCGCCATTCCAACACATGCAGCAGTAGCGGCGAATAAACATCAGAAACGATGTTTTCGCGACGGTATGATGAGCCGGTTTAAAAATAGAGATGTCTGACATTTTCGTTTGGTCCCCCTGCAGCCGTTCCGTTCCCACCCAGTCATCGACTGACGGCCAAAGAGGTCTTTGACGGCGAGGGCAAGCCCAAAGTTGACGTGCTGAAAGCCCACCTGACCAAGGAGGGACGCGTGGAGGAGGCGGTGGCGCTGAGGCTCATCAGGGAGGGTGCCGCCATCCTGCGCTCAGAGAAGAACCTGCTGGACATCGAGGCCCCGGTGACAGGTCAGCGGGTGGCGAGCCGTGTTCTTGTCTTTGACTTGAAACTAACGTGGATGCTTCGCCAGATTACAATTGAGTCAACACCTGAGATACGTTTCGATCCAGACCAATCCACAATGGATGAAAATCTGCAATGAGAGAGACCGAATGATTTTTATACTCCTCCAAAATGCTCGAAACACGTACCGTAACCTACGAAAACACACAAGTAATTATTATTTTTCTTCTACATGTTAAATGGGTGCGATCAAGTTAACATTCAGACCAAATTAAGTTTTTGTATCGGGTCCGGTTTACATTCGGGTTCCAAATTAGAATTAGAGCCACTTTGGGTTTTGGACTCTAAATTGAAGTGGTTCTGATTTGTATTAGGAATGGGCAGGGTAATAGCGGGAACTCACATTTCGAATCAAAATTCATAGCCAGGCAGATGTCATTTAGAATAGATGTTCCCGAAGTTATAAACCTTCAAACAACTGCCACTTTTTGCACATGCAAAAACCCACACAAACAGACGTGTAACTCTAAATTTGGGATTGGTTGTATATTGTGAAACAACATAAATAAAATAAAAATCTCGAACATATCGAGGGCACAAAGATAAGGCACAATGACGCCAAAGCCCTGTCCAATAGGAAAGTAGTACATGGATGTTCAGGAAGTATGTTGAAGTGGTATGTCTCAGCTGAGAGACAAGCTTTGCATGTCAACGAGAAGCAAGATTTAGCCTGGGTTGTTAGCGGAAGAACTGCAAATGAGTCTTCACCTCATGCGCATGTACCGTACATGCGTACTTCCAGTCTGAGCGTTTTTTTTTAAATGTTGCAACATGCGATTAAAATTATAATGAGTTTAGGGTCATGGTTGTGGTCTATTAATAGTTTCAACTATTGCAAATTAATGTTTTTATAACATGAATTTAATGATGTCATAACATTCTGGCAATGTAACTGCTGTCCAAGCTTATTAAAAAAAACAAATGACAATTTCACCTAAATAAGGATCTTGAATGATTCCGTATTGCCACATTTAAGTCACTCCGAGCAGGAGACTCACCGAGGCACACGGCAGTGGCTATTGGTGCCTTTCTTCTTGGTCAAGTGCTCCTTCCTCCATTAGACTTTTTAATGAGGCTCCTTTGATGCTTTTCAAATCCCACACAGGATCTATGGCAACAACCCATCATTCACTCACATTATTTTGCCCCCCCCACCCGATCGCATAACTCACTATATTCCGAGTGGGTTGTTGAACCCTCGAAGCCTTTTCAGGCGCCACCGTCGAGCTCAGAGGAGGCAAAAACAAAGTGACAGCATCTCGTTACGTAAGATCTGAGTTAGGGCAATGAGATGGGACAAAATGTGAGAAGTTGGTGGGGGTGGGGGGGGGTGGAGGGGGAGGAACCCTCCTTTTTAAGAGTTGCGATGAACTATTTGTTCTCCGCTCCACCGCAGCCGCCCTGTAAACAACAGCCCAATTCCCACATGACACAAGGCCGGCGAATTAGTATGTAAATATTTTGTGTGGACGCAACGAAGCACGACACGTCGCCGCTCTCGCTTCTCTTGTGCTTGTCACGCTGACACACTTACTTCCTGGTCACGCCAGATGGTTGGTGGAGTTTTTTTTTTTTGTTGTTTTTTTTGGGGGTGGGAGGGGGTCTATGACAATTAGAATACAAGTCACACACGCACGCACACAGTAGTCGGCTGTCAGTAAAGCTTTTGGAGCCACATCACCAGGCAACATGCTTTTACAGTAATGCACAGCTCCTCACGGATTTCTAAATGGAACACATTTTATTCACTAATAGTCCTCTGGTGCGGCTGCTTTAGGGTGCCTCATTGTCGGCCTTGAGTACATGTGACATAGAGAAAGGCGGAAGAGCAAGGAGAGGGGTGGGGGGGGGGGTTCATTATTTCTTTTTTTCAGTCCGACTTGACGGCTAACGTGGACCGAAGCTCATGTGGTCTCTGAAGAGCATCTCGTGTCACCTCGGAGTGTGCGCATGTCACAGAGATAGGCAGAAGGGCAAGGGAGGGGATTTTTATTTTATTTTATTTATTTTTTTTAAAGCCTGATCTGACAGCCAGCATGTGGACCGGAGCTACAGGCCGGCGTGGCCGCTTCAGAGTGCCTAGTTATCGTGGCGATATCTAGCGATATATTTATCCAGGTAGCTTGCACTCTTATTCCTATCTATAAATGCTCTTTGTCGTTATTGCCTTCTTCTCCTTCTTCTGAGACGTCCGTCGGTATTTGACCTCGTTAATGACGATTACATTGGCAGATGAAAACGCATTTCCGTCAGTGCTTAATCCGCACTTTTTTTAGAGTCTCCTGTCATTCGTCAGCAAAATGATATTTTTCATGATAATGAGGCATCATTTTGATTTCTTTTCATCATTCATATTTGGCATGATTGTAAACAACACCAGAGAACAGCTGCCGCGCAAATTGGGTTTTAAATTGGGTTTAAAATCCATCCATCCATTTTCCGAACTGCTTTATCCTCACGAGGGTCGCGGGGGGTACCAGAGCCTATCCCTGCTGTCTTCGGGCAGTAGGCGGGGGGACACCCTGAACCGCTTGCCAGCCAATCGCAGGTCACACAGAGACGAACAACCATCCACACTCACATTCACATCTCGGGACAATTTGGAGTGTTCAATCAGCCTGCCATGCATGTTTTTGGAATGTGGAAGGAAACCGGAGCACCTGGAGAAAACCCAGGCAGGCACGGGGAGAACATGCAAACTCCACACAGGAAGGCCGGAGCCGGGATCGAACTCACGACCTCTGCACCGGTCGACGCGCTAACCACTTGACCACCGGGCCGCCCTGGGTTTAACATATTTTTAAATTTTTTTAATTAATGGATTTTCTCTCGAAATCGAGTTTTTTTTCCCCCATTTGCAGATGAGTCTGGCATGCACCCCTCACCACTTACTGTACACCTTTGTTCTCTTTAGCGCACGGCTTGCAGTATACGGTTGGAGGAGAGTGCACCGTGATAAAAGACCCTGCTGTTGTTATTGTTGTCATCGTACCTCAGTCGGAGCTCGATACGGCCCAGACTCCTGATGCTCAATGAGCCCGGCCGGCCTCGGAGTGGCCCGTGTAGGTTCTGAAGCTACATTGTGTAATGTCCGTCCGCCCGCCCACTCACAGAAGCTGCAGCCTGCTGATGTGCCGCTTCTCGGGGAGCTCGCTTTTAGCGCAGCGAGCAGGCTCTGGTCAGAACGAATTGTTTCTCGCTCCGCTTAATTTACTCCCACCTGTTCTTCTTATGTGGGCTCGCTTCTCGCCTCGCGTTTGCGGTGACAGGGAGGGGGCGGCGCACGTCTGTAGGTGGACTGAAGCCGAATGACGGACAGATTGACTCTCTGCGAGGATAAAGCAGAAGAGTGTGCCACTATTCTATCCTCCCTCCCTTTTAGATTACTTCTCTTTCTCAATGACATAAGACTCAATTACTCAGGCGTTTCCATAGCAATAAGCATCCTTCACAACAGGAACCGAGATGAATCACCTGTACATTTTTTGTGGCTCTTCTGAATAGAAACTCTCTTTATTGCTTCCCTGCATTGTTGTGCTCCATTGCGTGGTTCTCGTTAATCTTTCTCACGCCGCCATGTTATCGAGAATCTCCGTTGCCATAAATGCGCATCGAGGAGGAGTGAGGCTTACACCCGGTCGACACGTTTTTACAACATTTTTAAATCGGATGTGCGAGCCAACTTTGCTGAATGATTTTTTTTTCCTTTAATTCAGAATCTACAGGGTTTTTTTTTCTTCAGCACATCATGTTTTCACAATAATATACTGTCGTAATATATTTGGGAACGTTTATGAATTAAGGCTTACGTTCGACAACGGGTGTGAAACGTCGTCGCCATGAATTACGACTGAGTATAAAATCGGTATGGCGCAAGCTTTCATTGGTCAGACCACAAAAAATGAAAATGTCACGAAAATCTGATGGACATAGCTAGAAATAACACAAAATAACTTTTTGAAGTCAGCATTAAAAAATAAATTTAGTGGCACATCAAACCATCTCTGATTCCAACTTTGTGTTGAGCAGCGTTCTTAATTCCCATGAAAGGTTTGCTGCTCCTTCAACAATCTTCGTTGCAAAGAAAAAAAAAAGACACTTCCTGTTGACGCCCTATCGGCAGTAACCAGCCAGCCAAGGGAAAGTAGCAGGATGCACTCAACTGCTTTTGAGCCCAAATTGGGTTTACTGAAGCCATTTTAGCGCCATCAGGAACTTAACAAGCGATCTAAAATAGTCCGGCGCGACGCCATTGTCGTAGTGTTGGCTTGCCGGCAGAAGGGAGTGAGGCCGTTTTTAGAGATCTGACACAAATCGTCTCCAAAGGCTCCATTTGTGTGTGTGTGTGTGTGTGTGTGTGTGTGTGTGTGTGTGTGTGCGCGTGCGCGTGTGTGTGTGTGTTTTAATAACGAGTGTGTGTTCAAACTGTGTCACCGTGTGGGTATAATGAAAGCTAAATAGTAAGAGGGAGGTTTACGATACACTCCAGGAGTGTTGATTCCCTTCGCCGTCTCGTGAGACTTGTAACCAGACTTAATTGCTCTTCAGCGCTGTCCTACAGCTCGTTCTAATTGGTTGCCTTTTTCTTTTATTTGTAGATGCGCGTCGTAAAGCGGCTAATAGCCAGTATGCGATGCAAACACGTTTGACTGTTCTCGGGTCCCTTGTTAGCTACTTATTGTTAGCCTCTTGCGCCAATGCTTTTTGTTTGCAGGTTCAGGAGACTTTGGACGCGGGAATCCAACTTTGAGGACTCAAAATTGTTGATTTTATTCGGGTTAAATTCCACCAAATTGAGCGACAGATCTTGAATTCGAGGTGCAAGGGCAGCTGGCGCGAATCGCAGGCCCGCTTTGGACGCCCCCTGCGCCCCCTCTCCAGGGAGTAATGGAGTGCGAGGTCACAAAGGTTACAGGAAACTAATCCGCATTGAATGATTTGTGCTTCCCGTCTCGTGGCGCTGCTCCCAATTCTCCAACCGGGAGGCCGCCGAACGGGTTTGGCGTGATGCGGAATTGCCGCAATCGGATGAATCCAAAGGGAAACCCATTGGGATTAATCGGCAGGGATTTCAAGCGGGGGTAAAAAGACTCCCGGCACCATCGGGATGGATTTCTCCGTGCGAGTATCTGTCTGTGAAGGCGATGACATGTTTTCCAGCGCTTTTTGCCAATGCACTTTCAGTGTGTTTGGCAAGGCCTGATGTGCTCAGATTAAATCTGGCGAGGCTGTTGAATGGCTTCAAGGTCTCCAGTAGAACAAAAGAGACTTATGGTTGAATGGCATTTAAAAAAAAAAAAAAAAAAATCAATAAAATAAAAAATCCTTTCCTCCAACACGGCACATTATGCTTGCATTCCTCTACCAAGGTTATTAAAGAAAAAAAAGGTTAACAAAACGAAAGTGGAACTGTGATTGAAGAAACATTTCCATGAGTGAAATAATATAAAAATGAAAAGGCCTAAAAAAAATAAAAATTTAAAAAAAAAAAAAAAACTGAAACTACACCGTACATTAACAACATAGAGTATAACAATGCCGCAAATTGAAACTAACTCTAGTTCTAGCAAAAAATATCCTTTGTTTTTATTTTCAGTGACTTTATTTCATCAAGTATTTTATTTATTTCTGTATTTATTTTTAATTATATATTTTATTTACTTCATTAAACAGAACGGAGTGATTTTTTTGGGGGGGGTTGGGGGGGGGCTTTCATTCGACGAACACACCCTATCATTTCTCAACTAAAACTGGTTTTACGACCCTGGGGATGAAATGTTGAAGTATGACATCAGCTATCAGTTCACAATTGTTCCAAAATACGAAACAATGCCACCATTATTCTCCCATGGCGTTCTGTGGATTGGAAGTAGGTTCTCCCAGTGTTGTGTTGGCTTTTTGGGGCTGTCTTCCTCATGTGTGTGTGTGTGTGTGTGTGTGTGTGTGTGTGTGTGTGTGTGTGTGTGTGTGTGTGTGTATGTGTGTGTGTGTGTGTGCGTGTGCGTGTGTCAAACTTTCAGTGTGCGGCGACATCCACGGGCAGTTCTTTGACCTGATGAAGCTCTTCGAAGTGGGCGGCTCCCCAGCATCCACGCGCTACCTTTTCTTGGGGGACTACGTTGACAGAGGGTATTTCAGTATTGAAGTGAGTGGTGCTGGGAGATTTTTCTGCGATGCATTTGGTACCAGGGCCTTCAGTGGGGACGTAATCTACCTCTTCAGAACACCGCTGTCCCATCCAAATTGTCGAAACGGTCAGTCGTGTACAAAAACTGTGCCATGCACATCAGCAGATGACAATGGAGGTCGGTATGGCAATACTTGGAGGCTGACATTTTATTGGCCAATAAATAAATAAATAGAGTTGCAAGTAGCTACAGTGTGAAGGGCCCTGGCAGCCCGGGCCACTTTGCCGTTCTGGCACTATTGGAAAATGCCCCAATAAAGCTCTAAAAGATTTTTTTTTTTGGACCAGGCCTGATTTGCGTTTTGGGGCATTTTTAGACCTTCAAAAACAACTTGTTCTTGTTAAAAAGTGTGGGGCAACGGGACTAGCATTTAATGAAACATCACACAGTCACACAGTCGTGTTGACAGTCAAGAGAAACGCAACCAAATGAAGAGAATAGACTGTTGGGGATAAATTAAGACAATTTAATGGAACAAAAATGTGAATTTAGGTTGTAAATGTAGGTCAGCGTTTCCGATACTGTGATATTAATAAATAGTGGCTGCATGCTTCCGGGCTTTTTTTTCCCCCCCTAGAAAACTAGCCTAAATAGCAAGTGTCACAGTGTATTTTTATAAACTGCTGGGGTTCAAATGCATCTCTCCACTTGGACTTCTGCTTCCATATTAGGATTTGATCAATGAAATCTGTCGGTCCTCCGCTTAAGCAACTGTTTGCCAACCGCACTGTGTGACTGCGCTATGGTGAGCAGAGCTTCCCGCTTTGTGTCTTAACTGCCTGTTGTTGTTCTTCTTCTTTGCCCACAGTGTGTGCTGTACTTGTGGGCCTTAAAGATCCTCTACCCCAAAACTCTTTTTTTGCTGCGTGGGAACCACGAATGTAGACATTTAACAGAGTATTTCACATTTAAGCAGGAATGTAAGTGGCCCTTTTTCATCCTAAATGGGACAGCGATGGTTGTCCCGTTTTCCTGTCGGGCTTGTTTGACTTGGCGCGCGTTTTCTCCCCCCCGCCCATCTCTATTCCAGGTAGAATTAAGTATTCAGAGAGGGTGTATGACGCGTGCATGGACGCCTTCGACTGCCTTCCCCTGGCTGCACTTATGAATCAGCAGTTCCTCTGTGTACACGGAGGACTTTCCCCAGAAATCACGAATCTTGACGATATCAGGAAAGTATGTGGCCGACTTGAGACTTTTGCTTTTTTTTTTTCATGTTTTATTTTTTCTTGCTTGAGGGCAAACCTCGGTAGTAAACATACTGCACTTTAAGCAAAGCAACTCTGGCAAGAACGCTGAGAAATGCTGCTCGGGCACAGTGAATCTTTGCACTAATTAAAACAGCTTGAAGACCTGGATGCTGCGCTCACACTAATTCAATCATTCCAAATGGATCGTGGGTGTCTAATCAGGGAGCGTGCGTCATAGATTCTACCATATTCAAATGTCCCATCATGCAGTAATCTGCAATCTTCTGTTTGAGAACGAGCGACCTCTCCTTTGCTCAAAAGAAACAGCCAATGCCTTGAATAGTGACTGAAACAACATAAGCAACAATATGTCGCAATGATAGCTGATGTAATCCTGTCCAGAATGCTCGGATGCTTGCAATTAGGAGTGTTTCTATCATTGCCATGGTAACCATCGATGTGTCGTATTAGTGGACAAGCCTGGACACCTCCACGTGTCTTTTGGCTTCACACGGCATGTTTGCTGCTCTCAGTTGCTTCAAAATCACTTGGTGTTTGGGGGGGGGGGGCAAGTATTATTCCTTCCTGCAGCTTTGATAGAGAAGTCAAGTCAAACATTTTCTTGGCAATAATATGTTCCATGCTCCATTTGTCTAAATATGGCATTTTGATTAATATTGTGTTTGTGGAATATGAACAAAGCAGAAAAATCCACCCGTTTTTGTCCACCTCAGGGGGCGGCCATTTTGCCCTGTACGATCCCTTGCTGTCAACCCGAAAATGACGTCGGAGTGCCAAATGGCTCAGATAACGACCGTCGCGGCTCACCTGCTTTCTGGGTTTGGTCATGTGATGTTTCCAAGCTGAGCCCTTGGACACTGTGATGTCATTTTCCTTCAACAGCAAGTGGCAGTTCAAGACAAAATGGCCGCCCCGTGAGGTGGATAAAAATAACCTTGAATTTTTTTCTTTAAATCCTATTCCATGAACATAATATTAATCAGAATACCGAACTAGTGGGGGCACATCGAACATTTTATTGTCAAGAAATGTTTTGACTTGACTTCCCCTTGAATGTCTCTGTAAAGTGAAAATAAAAATGTCACCACAGAGAAGTGGTGATAACAACCATGACAAATTTGAATGACTTTTATTTAAAATCACCAAGTACTGTATATAAAATAAGGCTTCAAAATCAGGAAAAATCAAGGATCCAAAGCAAGGTGTATTTTTGGGGTGCAGGCAGAGGTAGCTATTTTGCTTACAGCACCTCACAATTGTGCTGGATAACCACTGCGGCAAATGCCCCCTTCTCCAAAAATCCAAGAACCGAAATGCTGAAAAACTGTTGACACTACGATCTCCACAATTGAGTCCTACATACTTTAGAAACAAACTTTCTAAATTCACTTTGCATGCCCTTTAAGGAAAAATGTCCAGATTTGCCAATGTCCATTCTTTCCGTCCGCAGCTAGACAGATTCAAAGAACCTCCAGCGTACGGCCCCATGTGCGATCTTCTGTGGTCCGACCCCCTGGAGGACTTTGGGAATGAGAAGAGCCAGGAGCATTTCACACATAACACAGTCCGAGGCTGCTCCTACTTCTACAGGTCGGTATTGCTAGCTGGTTGTTTATGCGGTGTCATGCACAATTGGAGGATGGCCGGTGAGGCACCTTGTTGCTTAGTGGCGACCTGAACTCGTCACCGTTTGTCGTTTTTCTGTCAAGTTGACGCAAAAAACAAACCAATTAAAAATGGGATATTCACTCACCAAAACGTTCACCCGAACCATAATGTTTTTGTCGAAAGAAAGTCCATTAGCTTAATGCTAACATTAGGGATCCATGGTAACTATCGGACGGATAACCATTGGACTGATATTTGGGGGAAAAATGACCACACTGTCAGTGTGTGTGTGTGTGTGTGTGTGTGTGTGTGTGTGTGTGTGTGTGTGTGTGTGTGTGTGTGTGTGTGTGTGTGTGTGTGTGTGTGTGTGTGTAACAGTTACTCTGCATACCTAGCTAACATGTAATACAAAACTGTATCAAGCTTTACCTTATTATACTCAGAACAAATATTCGAGCCTGCCTACATCAAGGTAATAAAAGCAAAATGAAAGAAAAAAAAAAAACCAGCATCATCCATCACCCCCTTCCAACTCATAAATACCCTTCTTGCCAAATTGTCTTTTCTCGCGTCCTCGTATTGTTTGATCATGTAAAGTTGCGTGTCGCAGAGCCGAGTGTGACGCTCGTGCGACTTTAGGCAGGATTTCTGTAGCCCACATGAGCTTGGATGGAGTCGAGTAAGTGAGCAAAGGAAATGCAAGGAGCAGGCCGGGCTGGGGCCGCCACAGAATGTAATGAGCTGGCACGTCGCCACCAGGCGTAGCCCTCCCTTGCTAATGCGTTCAGCAGTCCCCGCCGTTCATTACGGCCTGAGTGATGCTTCCTTGGCTGTGGCGGGCCTGCGGCGAGCCAGCACAAGCAATCAGAAATGCCTCCAGTGGCCAAGTATGCATTTTCTTCTGCAGCCAGCTAATCTTGCGGATAGCCTTTACACATCCCGTTTCGGTGATGTCACGCTGCGTTTATGCTCAACGATGGCGTTGGTACACTAAATTCAGGGACAAAGCGAAAATGTGCTCGACGTTTTTATGGGGATTTTGTATCAACTTTTAAATGGCCCACTGGTTCAGTCTTTTAAGTCATTTGGGCACCATTTCCAGAATCATGAATGAACAATACCGGTACTTAAATATTTTTCTTCTATTGATGTTGAAGTTGTCATTTTTATTCGTTTTTACACTACACGTCAGACTTTTTTTCTTTTTACTGAAGATCTTCAGGAATCAGTACTTTTTTTTTCTCCCCAAAACATGTCTTTACTTCTGAAGTACAAAATAATGACGGACAGACACGAACTGGTCTGAGCGATGCCGCATTTTGAAATTCACACGTCGGCTAAGTTTCACAGGTTTCTGGATTTTTTATTTTATTTTTTTTGCTGATCCATTACGAGGTCAATAATCCACTCTTTATGTGGAAAAATATTCTAGATTGGGTTGGCGTTGGAGGAGTTTAATTCAAGGTTTTTGCTCTCTCCCCTCTGACTACAGCAGCGCGAGCTTAAAACACACTCGAACGCTGCCAAGCCAATGTTTTTTCCTCTCTCACTTCATCCAACTCTGACTCATGTGTCGCACTTGACATTTACGCTTCCGTTTAAAATAAAACCCACTTTTTGAAAGTGTCCCCTCTGGTTGTACAAGATGGGAACCTGTTGTATCCTTTCATACTTTCACTATCCTGCGTTTTGTATTGCCTGTAATGTGCCTCCGATGAATTAACCGTGCTTCCTTTTTTTTTGTTTTTTGTGTGTTTTTTTTTTCTTTTCTGCTGCAGCTACCCTGCCGTTTGCGACTTCCTACATCACAATAATTTATTATCGATCATCCGAGCCCATGAAGCGCAGGATGCTGGGTGAGTTGTGGGCGTCTTCCCTCATCATGTGATGGCAGCGTTGCTCGGTGGCGTTTGACAAAAACAAAATACAGCCAGCGTGTACTGGAAGGCTGACACGACAGGGGAGGGGCGGTGGGGCTCATGTGGAGCGTGTTGAAATGAAGTGGTGCGGCACATTATCACAGCCAGTCATATGATTACTGAGGTGAAGCAAGTTCGCATGGTGGGAGGATTCATTTATTTTCCCCGGAGAAACTTATTCTAAACATTCATCCTGACCATGGCTGTTCCATATTTTGCATTTTTTTGTCCGATCGGATATCAGCCTCTATGTTTTGTCATGTCAATGTAATCCACCTTAGGCTTTTGGAGTCCTTCGTGCCACCTTATTTAACTGTAGTCGCAATGGTACACTTTCTTAAAGCAGTAAGATTTCAAATTCATCCTTGCAGGCTGATTGGCCCAAAATAATGACAGCATGGCAACACCCAAGTACCAAATGCTTGGCCTGCCACTGTTGAAATCTGATTTAACAGCTTGCATTTGTTGGATCCAAAAGAAATTCTACCCCCTTGTAGCTTTTATGAGCCAACGTCGAAGCGGTTGATTGACTCATTATTTTTTTGGAAATGGTCTGCATTCTCCAAGCGCCCTTGTTTATCATTTCGCACCCATAGCCAGGTCATGTGGGACACCTCTACACATGAGGCTGCCGCCCCGGGGGGCCGAGAGAGAGAGAGAGAGAGAGAGAGAGACATTCATGTGGTCACTTCTTAATTTCAAAATACCATTTTTTTTTTCCATTCGAGTCAGTCTGTTCTTATTGTCCACCACACCTGGCAGACGTTGGGAGTCACGAAAGGTTGATCGCAATCACATGACTTTTGGAGATGGCGAATGCGTGCATGTCACAGACGGAGAAGAAAGTTCTACAGAATGCAGAATTGGCTATAGCACTGCAATGCGAATCTGCTGTAATGCAGTGCATAAATCATTTGCAGCTCAAGAATACAATAATGCAGCCAAACCCAGTCAGCATGGACTCCTCGAATGTTGCACTTGAGCCACGCTGGTGTTTGCTTGTGGTGACTGTCAACATCCAAGAATCAGGACAGGGATTTAATCCCCCGGGGTGACATCAGGTCCCCCCCTCGCCTACGCGTCACTTTACCAGACAAACACGCCACCGTCCCCGTAAGAGTAGGAGATCACACTAATCATATCCCGAAGGGGAAGAGGCAAGCAGCCAATTTGATTCAAAGTCAACCCCTCCTCACTTCTTGTCTTCCTTCGCCAGATATCGCATGTACAGAAAGAGTCAGACTACTGGCTTCCCGTCCCTCATCACCATCTTCTCTGCGCCCAACTACCTTGATGTCTACAACAACAAAGGTAAGGCGAAGTTTGAAGAAATATACTGTAAGAAGCGCAACTCCCTTGTGACGGGGATTTATCCCCAGAGCAATTCTAAGACAGGACTTCATAGTTATGTGATACGTCACAATCATATAGCTTTTGATTGGCCCAATGACAAGGGAGGGAGGCGTAATTTTTTAGCTGTTTGTTGTAGTGGCCACAGATGTAGTTTAGGATTCTTCATTGTAGTGAGCCGTGGACTGAAAGCCACTCAAAATGCGTCATTCACACCATAAAGGCCACTGAGAAAATGTGCAAAGCTGTTAGCTCGGCAAAAGGTGGCTACTTTGAAGAATCGAAAATTATAAAACGTATTCTGTTTTGATGAGCATTTCTTTTTTCATTTACCAAATAATTCCATCAGTATTTCTTCATAATGTAGATAAGTATTTTTAAATATTATATAATATGAATTTGCTAGTGTGCCCCCCCCAAAAAAATACATAATCATATATTGCAAATGATTTAACAGACTCCAAGCTTCATCAGGTTGGTGGGTTCTGTTGATGCCCCCTCCTATCATTCAGGTGCATGGGGTCCGTCCACTGGTTGAACATAGCAAGCCTCAGTCATGAATCGCCTCCTCTGAGCATCTCGACCAGCCCAGCACACACCCAGTGATTGTTGGGCAATCAAGTGTGCACATAAATCTGGAAGGGGAGGGGCGGGCGGGGGGGGCGCTGGGAGTGGGTCCCATGAACCAATGAGACTTTGGCGCATTGCCTGTCAATAAGGAGCAAGCGGCAAGGGAGAAGTTGTTGCGTAATTGCGCTAACCCACACGCAGTGAAGTGGCCCTCAGTCCAACAGCCAGTTCTGCAACAATCCCTATTTATCTAATACAGTGACAAAAACGTAACACGTTTCAATCAAACACATCATGCTCACTACAATCACTGATTATTATGTGTCTTAACATGCGCAGATCGCAAGCGGAACAGTTTTGCTCGCTAGCTGGCCCTATGAAGCATTTCTCGAATTGGAACATGTAGTCAACGTTACGTCGGGCAAATGCTATTTACATGGCAGCACACAGAGGATGAAATCTGATTGGACCCCCCCCCCCCTCCCCCAAAAAAAAAAAATCTAACGACAAAGCACAGCCAAGAGGAATGCTAGCAAATGAACAATGTAGACTAACACAACACAACAGAACATAACAACATAACACAACTGACTGGGGCACACATTAAATTGGAGGTTGTTAATGCCCGGTAGTTCCGTGCTTCGATTGCGGTTTTCAGTCTTTGGGTTCTGAAGTGACTGCAATGGTGGGGGCGGAGTGTAGGCAGTTTTGTCTGTGTGTGTGTGTGTGTGTGTGTGTGTGTGTGCGTGTGCGTGTGCGTGTGTGTGTGTGTGTGTGTGTGTGTGTGTAAACATGGCCCGCGGGGTGGGGGAGTTGGCAATATTGCTTGTGGTTTTAAATTAATGGAATGTTTTCTGCTGCATGGTTATTGAGTGCACCCGAAAGCCAACAACCCTTAATGGTTTTGCTGCTTGGCTGTAACAAAAGCAAAATATCACAAAGGTTTCCGGCGCCAATCGCAATAATAATAAAAATAAAAGAGGAAGAAAAAAAAAACATGGCCCTTCGGATCGCTATTGCAGGCTTTGGACTCGATATGTCAGACCTTACATAAGCGAACAAATGTCTTCTTCCTCTCTTGTTTTTGGAGGCCAGATGGGATTGATGGAGCTGAAGTTAGGTCAAAGTGAGCCCTTCCTGGCGTGTTGTCATTTGGCTTGGCGGCAGGTACGCTCAAAGGGGGGGATTCATTCCAGGCAACCCTCCCCCTCCTGTCCCCCGACAGAGGAGAATTCCCTGCTACAGATGCCTGCCCATCTGTTCTCACTTTGGCCATTAGCAGGTTTCCCTCCTGTTTCCGGCAGCCACGTTTCTCCATTTTACGCCGCGTCACACGGTCATGAAAAAACAATGTTGCGCAGGGGACGGTGACTGGATCGAAGTCTTTCTCAGCACTCCGTTGATATTTATCCTGACCGTAGGACATTTCACCATGACATCCAGTGTACTGCAATTTATGTCTCAGCAGCTACATTGGTTAAAAAAAATAAAAAATAGACTGGGCGCAAACGTACATGCTAAAGAATTTCTCTCAACTCAAGTGTATTTCTTGAGCACTTGAAAACAACCACCGCTGTAAAAAAGTGCTGTACATGGAGCAGAAATAATTGATACAACAGCAAACAATAAGTTAATACCAAAGACAGTAGAAAGCACAAAAACAGTCAAATTTAAAAAATCAAGTCTCATGCTGAGTCACAAGCCAAAGAATAAAATTAAGTTTGAAGACGAGTTTTAAAAATGGGCAGCGAGAGGGCTTGCCGAACGTTCATTGCAAACGGAAGAGGGGAGAGAAATGTCCCCCGATAGATGCAACTATAAAACGGAATCATGAGGTGGCCGTTCTCATTTCACGTGATCCATAATCTCTCGGAGTTCCCAGTTAACTTGATCGGTCCGGATCCACGGGTTGAAGAGCCACTCCCTTAAAGTGCGCCGTTTTAACACGGCGAAACTGAAGCTGCGCAACCTGATCCAGGAGGCCTCTGGGACACATGCGACGCCGCGCATCGAGTCAGGCCAGGATGTCGGGAATCTCCGCGGCTCTCACAGCAGCGGTATTGACGGCGGCCGTTACCGGGGAAACAGGCTGGAGACACTCCCAAATAAATAATTCATGAGCAGGCGTAGACTCTCAGTGTTGCCGTGGCAGCGGCCTTGGCATCAGCTACCCCCACTGACCCCCACCGCGTTCTTGTTCTCAGCGTCGGCTCAGCAGAGACACCTAGTGGCGGATATGTGCAGTTTAGTTGAGCAACACTCGCCCTCCAACCAAGAAGTGACATTTGTTTTTACAACATCCAAAATAAACATCGGGCCATGTTTGTTTTGTTGAGTGCAGGTTGTTGGGGGAGGCGGGGGGAGGTGTTACTGTTCCTTTAAAGGGAATCTGCCTTGAGGGAGCGCTGACCTTAATGTCCGCCTCCTCACCAGCGTCCGTGGCTGCATTCAATCAACTGCCGCCTTGGTGATATTAATGCACGATGTAACGTTTACGCAACGACTACCCGCGCGCGCCATCGCTGACATGCGTGCGTCCCCACGCGGCGTCATGTGTAATGCGGGAAACAGAGTGAGCACGCCTCTGTCTGGATTTGACATCATCATCATCATGCATCATCATGGGGTCCATCCCCATTTTTTTTTTTTTTAAGCCCTTAACTCCTCTCAAATGCTTTAAACAGAGTGTTGCCACAGTTACTTTGAAAAAGTAACTTATTATATTGAGTACTTAACTGTAAAAATAACTTTATTCAGTTACTGATTACTTGATTCTAAAAGTACTTAAGTTAGATTCCATGTTGCTTTTTTTAGTTATATTCAACCGATCCCGACAGCCCCGCTTAACATAAAATTGACAGCTGGTTTTGCCAATTCTTAATTGGAAGTGTTATTTTTAACAGTGACGTTTAAGAATGAAGATTCTTTTTTAATTCAACAGACGACAGTTTTTGACTTATAATTTTTTGGGGGAATAGTCTTTCTGGATTTCACTGAACATAAATGGCTACTTGTTTTCATAAAAAAATCTAGACTTCACTCAACATAAATATTTTCTTAGTCTGTTTGGGCCTGACATTCAATTGTTCACATTGTCAAAGCAAACTTAACATTTATAGTCTATATTTTTCATTAATATAATCATTACATTTGGGGACCTCCTGTAGTCACACAGCTTTGTGGGTGTTTCTCCTTAAGCTTGAATTATGCTGTGATCTATAGTTTTTTTTTTTGTTTGTTTGTTTTTGATTAATTTTTTTGGACGTCGCGGTCGTGTTTTTGAAGCTAGATAACGCTTTGTCACCAGCACAGAATGCACAGCGCACCATCCTATTTTCTTTAGCTGACACAAGCTCAAAATACTGATTGCATTTCCTGTTTGAAAATTTGAATCTCTGCTTCTTCCGTTTCTGTTTTTCACATGGTCTAAACGTGACACGGCACGCCCTTGATGTCACGCCCCCCGAGAAGGGAATGCAAATTGTGTCCCAGAATGCTTCACTGGGAGTGCAAAGGATGTGAACCGCAATTTACTGTTCTCCGTGTTTGACAAGGGACTCAACTCAACTCATCTGTATTTATAAAGCACTTTCAAACAGCCATCGCTGTATACAAAGTGCTGTATGCACGACTTGGTCATGTTCAGTGATTTGACACACACGGAATGAAGCAAAGCTCAAGTTAGCAGGGTGCGTTTCGCTCCCGTTTTGTGTCGCTAGCGAGTTGAGGCGATGGCCTCCTGGGAGGCCGGCTCTGATGACTTGCTATTCCCACCGCGGAGAAAGTTGGCTGTGGGGGACGGGAAAGTCCCCTGCGTTGAGCCAGCAGCGGTGTCACCCGATCTGGACTGCCGGTCTGCCAGCATTTGGCATCCCTCATCGGCCCATTAGAACCCTCTATGCTGCCTTATTCATGACTGATGTAACAGACTGGAAACCGGATTATCATTGGAGCTATTTAGGACCAAAATGACCCCACCCCCAGACTTTCAATCTTGGGGTGACATACATAATGCTGCACGGCTCCTGCCGTGGGTCGGCATTATACAACCGTTTTGGAAAACTAATCGGTTTGTTTCCAAGCTCATTTGAACTCTTCAAACCGGTTGCTGATGCGACGTTGAAAAAGGCAGCCAGCCTCACCGTTTTTGTTTTGTGCAGCGGCCGTGCTGAAGTACGAGAACAACGTGATGAACATCCGACAGTTCAACTGCTCGCCTCACCCCTACTGGCTGCCTAACTTCATGGACGTCTTCACCTGGTCGCTGCCCTTCGTCGGCGAGAAGGGTCGGCAAAGCTTTTCGTATTCGCCCGATGGTTCTGTTCAAACAGTTCGATGAGATTTGAAGAACTTTGTGTTTTCTGTGTGCAGTGACTGAGATGCTGGTGAACGTCTTGAGCATCTGCTCCAATGACGAGCTGACGACCGAAGACGAATTGGACGGTGAGCGAATCCGCGAGTTCGAATGTGTTGTCACGCCCCCCCAGCAGGTGGGTCCCATATGGATAAAAATCTTCTTTTCCCCTTCACATCTTTTCACTCATTCTTATGTGTTTTTACATGTCACTCTCTCCCCCTCAAAGCTTCTATCACTCATGCGCTCATTTTCCACAGTATTTTTTTTTCTTCACATCGTCATTTCCTCTCTCACTCATGCTGAGATGTCCTCGTTTTGTTGACTTCATCTAATTTCTCTTCTCTGTTTTCCAGAGTTTTATGTGTTCAAGGCATCGCTTTTTCTTGATGCCTGTCGTGCTCTCTTTGCTCTCTTTCCTCTCCCACCCCCTTCCTCTTCCTTCTCGCTCTTCACCACCCACTGCCTCTCTCATGCCGCAGCCATCCACTGACCTCTCTATCCCCTTTCTCTTGTCTCTTCTCCTGGGGGTGTTTCATGAGAAGGACAGCTTATATATCCCCCCAAAAAAGGTACAAACACGAGCCGTGCCGGTGTGTGCAGCAGGTTTGTCGGGTGCTTGCCCTCTTGCTTTTCACCGGAAAACTAACCTGTGACTGAGGCTCGTCATTGTGCCTTGGCGCCAGGAAAAAACATGAAATGTTCAAGTTAGGACTACCTGCGACGTGTTACCCTGACTTACAGAGTTGATGCATCAATTTCCCCTAATTGAAATGAATTGAAATGCCATTACTCAACCACAGCCAACACGATTCATCCATCCATCCATTTTCTGATCCACTTCATCCTCACAAGGGTCACGGGGGTGCTGGAGCCTATCCCAGCCGTCTTCGGGCAGTAGGCGGGGGACACCCTGAACCGGTTGCCAGCCAATCGTAGGGCACACAGAGACAAACAACCATCCGCGCTCACAATCACACCGAGGGACAATTTAGAGTTTTCCATGAACCTGCCATGCATGTTTTTGGAATGTGGGAGGAAACCGGAGTACCCGGAGAAAACCCACGCAGGCCCGGGGAGAACATGCTAACTCCACACAGGAAGGCCGGAGCCGGGATCAAACCCGCGACCTCTGCACTGTGAGGTTGACATGCTAACCACTGGCCCACCGGGCCGCCACGTCCATGATTGTTTTCCAAAAAGAAAATAGCTCTCTGTATTGCATCCCAAAGCACAAGAAAAAGAAAATGTCAAGAATTAAACTGTGAGCGTACTTTACGCCCAGCCTTTAAGGGGTGTGGCCTGGTGACACCAGGAGCTGGAGCATCCTTGTCTAAATGTGCGCATCTGTGGCCTACAGCAGTTCCTTCGCATTTTGTACCGTGCCTTTGGCTGGGAAAGCGAAGCATGCGGAGTCTCTGTCGCAGAGAAACCAGTCAGCGAACCAGCCAAATTATGCACACGTTTTCCTTTCTTTCATCTTGGCTCTCGTTCCACTGTTGTAATACAGCTACAGAGGCAAGTTGGCAGGTTGGGGTACTTGTGAGTCAAGGTACCACGGCATACATAACTCCGATGTTTCCAAGATCCCTTCCAAGCGTGTCGGGGATTGTGATTGATGATGTAACACCGGTGGCATGTATTCACCGTTGCTGTGATGTTTGGCTCAAGTTGAAAACCCGTTACGTCATTCCGCCACTTGGAAGCGTGCGTGTGTGCCCGCGCAGCGGCTGATCGTATGTGGCGTGTGGCCCCCGCAGGTGCCACGGCTTCTGCACGCAAGGAAGTCATCCGCAACAAGATCCGCGCCATTGGGAAGATGGCCCGGGTATTCTCTGTTCTCAGGTAACAACACCCCTTCTTGTGACAGAGAGTGCTTCATTTCGGTCGCTCAGTACGCCTTTTTTTTTTTTTAATCCATATATATTTTATTGATTTATGTATGTCGTGCCTAGAGAAGCTGAGTGCTTCAGAAGTGCAGTCCACATGCTTCCATGTCCTTCTTTGCTGAAAAATTGAAGTGACAAAGCCACAAATTTGTTTGCGTTTTTGATGTCGACTGATTTATGTTGACACCGCATTGCTTTGGAAAATTGTTCGTGTCGTTATAGTGAAGGCTCAAAAGACTGCTGGTCAAAGTGTTTCGTAAGTGGACGTCTGTAATTGAAGTAGATCCGCATTTTGTTCACAAAAATTCAGGTTCGTGTGCTTTCATTTTAGCATATTTTACAGGAGGAAAACAAATAAATCCAATTTTGTTAATTGTAATACATTAAAAAAAATAAACGAGAAAGAGAAAAATAGACGAGAAAGAGGACCTCTAGAAAATATTGAGAGGGGGGCGGGGGAAGAAAAATCGTAATTTCATCATTTTTCAAACTTGTTCAGCCCGACTATACAGCATAAAGCAAGTGCATTACTCCAATATTATGCACAAATATAACTTTAGGCTTTTGTCATATTCTTCAACCACAAAAAAAATTCATCTGCCAAGCTCTTGAGTCGATGAGCTTTAAGCAGCCTCACCAGCAACTCAGCCCTGATTGGTAAAACTCTTGACTCCTTTTTTTTTTTTTTTCCCTTCTCTTCTTGAAGACAACTCGATAAACGAAATCAATGCGCGCACTGACAAACGGTTCCTAGAAATCGAATTACAGAGAACTGGTTTTCGATTCCCATCCCGAGCCATAATTCTGTCGGTGCAGGTGCAATGAATCCACTAGCTTTAAGACCTTGTTGGGACAGTTTTGATGCTCGCTCGCGTGTCTGCATACCATATACCAAAAATCGAGGTGTTTTTGTTGATTTGGAGAACTCTGTAACCTTTTTAGTGAAAGTGCCATATGTCTTTGTTAACCAGAGAGGAGAGTGAGAGCGTGTTGACGCTGAAGGGACTCACCCCGACGGGCATGCTCCCCAGTGGCGTGTTGTCTGGCGGCAAGGAGAAGCTGCAGAACGGTAAGCCTGCATGCGCGCCATTGGAAGGCACCCTTGGGATGCACGCGAACAGGTCGCACGCCCCACCCCCGGCGGGTGGCACCCTGCAGATGGAGCCAGATTAACACCTCCCCCAAACCATGTCGATGGAGATGTCATTTGCTAAGATGCGAAAGTCGCAAAGGAGCAAATAGTGTCAGTTCTCCTTGTCTATTCTACTGGTTGGCTTTCAAATGTCATCGATCTCTTCTTTCTTTCTTTTTTTTCTCTCTCTCCCTAGAAACTGCAGGTATATTTGGTTGTGCAAGTATTCCGCTTACTCCCCCGCCCCGCCTCCCAACCCTCCTCATTTTGTGACACCGATTTCGATGTCCCCGCTCACCCTGTCATGTTGAAGTCCAAACAGCTCCACCAATGAGAAAAAGTCACGTTCTTATTTGAGAAAAAAAAAGAATGGCAACTACTAGTTTGGATGTCGGTTGTGAGTGGATGGTTGGGAATGGACAAGCACTTGTGAATGAAAGGGGAGGCGACTGCCTTTTTATCCACAAATGCAAGCAGGAATCTGGCTCGCTTGACTCTGCTCTCGGAGGATTTCCTTGACTGCAAAGTGAATTCATACGCAAAAAGATCGCATTAAAAAGAAAAACAATTCTGAGAAAATGTGCTCTAAATTTTGCCTAAAACAGGGCTTCTCAAACCGGGTTTGGTTTCAGAGGATTTTTTTTTCTCCAAACAGCAATCCAACAGAACCATGTGTACCTGGAAAGTTGTGTAATGTTACAATGACACATTTTTAACCCCCTCTACGCTGATACTGGAAAAATGACAATGAAAGCAAGGGCAGAAAGTCATATTTGACTGAGTGAATTTAAAAAAAAATCTATATTCTCGTCATGTTACACCTTTTATTCAGGGAGTATATTCTCATCGTAAGGCTCATAGAATAGAAGACACAATAGTGGCTGCAGTTTCGTTATGCATCCACTAGATGGAGCAACAAAAAAGGAATACAATACAATACAGCATTATTTATATAACGCTTTCACAACCGAACAGAACATTTAAAATACTATGTCCAAGAAATCAAAATATTGATCCATATTATAAGGCGCATCAGATTATAAGGCGTATTGTCTGCTTTTGAGAAAATTGAATGCATTTAGGTGCGCCTTAGAGTGTGAAAATATTATTATTATTATTTTTTTTTTTTGTTTGTTTGGTTTTATTTCAAGAAGGAAAAAGTGTAGTATTATTTTTTGTTTGTTTGGTTTTTTTTTTCAAGAAGGAAAAAGTATAGTTGGGAAACAGAATCAGACAAACTGAACATTTTTAAAGGATTCAAATGGTTATGCTGTATTTCATGGTAAAGTTTGAGAAGCCCCAGTAAAGAAGAACCGGGCCTTCCAACTCCAATACATCCACTGGGGTGTCAAAATCCCAAAAAGTCCTATTTGAGGCAGAGTCAAGTTCCCGGATTCCTGTCGCACATCGGTACGATCTCATGACCAGACGCTGGCGTGTTGCTCATCGTTGACGTCGCCACCATCCTCATCGTCGTTCTTCAGTCTGTATTTGTCCCCTGGTGCTCATTTTTGCGCTCAGTGTTGCCGACTTGCTGGTTTTGTGGCGAGAGCGACGGTAAGTGATGGACGCGTGGCGGAGGCCCTCGCTTTTTTTGATGTGGCCTCATCAAAAGATGCGGCGCCGGGCCTGCCCACTTTTGCGCTCTGCTGCTTCACGTGTGAATACATCCACTCCTCATGTTCATCTGTGCTTCATGAGAGGACACTTGGCAGGACCATGCCAGCCCTAACATGTCACCCTTCCCCTTTTACAGAAGTCCTCCGAAAGCGAAGGCGCATCCCACCGTCGGGTGGCGTATGGGCCAAAAATAACATTTACCTCATGCACAAAAAAAAAAAAAACCCTCTCACCCCCCCCCAAAAAAAAAATATATATGTGTGTGATTAAGAGCACTTTTGTGGGGTGTGTACAAGATTTTGGGAGATTTTTTTTTTTCAAGACGAGATGTTCATTGGTGTGTGAGAATGAATGGATCTTTGATATCTCCATTTTTTGCTTTGTGTGACAGAATTTTTGGTGAGGGAGTTTTTTTCTGTTTTTTTGTGAGTGATAAGATTTTTGGGGTGTGTGTAGATAATGCTTTTTGGTGTGTATGAGACATTTTCGGGTGAATGAACGTTTTTTTGTAGTGAGAGTGAGATTTTTTTTTTGGGAGGTGATTGTAAAGGTTTTGTCGCATAAGTGAGGGTATTTGTTTTGGGGTGACTAAGAATGGTTTTGATGCGTGCATGTGGAGAATTTTTGGGGTGTGTAAGAGGTTTTTGGTGTGTACGAGATTTTTTCTTTCAAGTGCGAGTGAGTTTTTTGCAGAAAGTGAGATGTTTTTGATGATGAGTTTTTGGTGATTGTGAAGTTTTTGGGGGTGAGCAATTCCATGTGTCTTTTTTTTTTTAAAGCGTGTGTGTTTTTTGGAGGGGTGAGGGGGGCAGCGCACAAGAGCTTTTTTTTGGTGGATGAATTTTTTGTGTGTGGCAACTGGTTGATATGTGTGAGACAATTTCAGTGAGTGTAAGAGGTTTTTGGGTGATTGAGAGTTGAATGTTATTTTTTGCCTCTATGGCTCTCCATACACCCCCCCCTCCTCTCTCTCTCTCTCTCCCTCTCTCTCTCTTTCTCTGTCTCTCTCTCTCTCTCTCTCTCTCTCTCTCTCTCTCTCTCTCTCTCTCTCTCTCTCTCTCTCGCTTCTCTTTGCTAACGTGACGAGAAATAATGCGTGTTGTCGGTATTGGCTGTGCTCCCTGATAAAATGACCTCCTCTTTGCTCACCTCTCTCGTTGGTTTTGCAACCCCCCTCTTCTTCTCTTCAGCTACTATTGAAGCTATTGAGGCTGATGAAGGTAAATAATGAGCTCTTGTGTTGCACTGCACAGGGGGCTGTGCAGGATTTTCCATCCATCTCGCTGATGCTTGAGTAGCGTGTGTGGGGTGTCTGGGCTCGAACCACGTGTGCCGCCGTGGTCGCTGTGCGAGAGCCGTGCGGACGTCGGAAGCCCTGTGGCCACGCGGGTTTGAAAGGGGAACCGCCTTCCTGTGAAATCCGTTTGATTGGCGCCAAACCGTGGGTGTCCCAAGTGCCACTCGGGAGGCCACTGACCTGACGCATAATTGAATCGTAAAATTAAGCAATGATTGGAGCAGAAAGAATCGTTTTTAAAAATTTCAAACATGTTTTTAAACGTAATTGCGGAATACAATGCTTTTAATTTTTGATGTTGGCATACCTTATTGAGGAGGAAAGATGGGGAGAGGGAGGGAGGAGGAGTGAGAGAGAAAGGGGGAAGGAAGGGAGAGGGGGGAAGAGAGAGATAGAGGGAGGATGGAAGGACAGAGATGGGGGGAGAAAGAGAGGGGTGAGGGAGAGAGACAGGCACAGAGAGGGGGAGACAGATGGGAGGGAGAGATGGAGGGAGACACAGAGAGAGACATAGAAAGGGGGGAGGAGGGGGAGAGATAGAGAATGAGAGTTATGGGGAGACAGGGGGAGAAAGATGGGGGAGGGAGAGAGGGAGATTATACAATATATATGTTTTCTGAAGCTGAGTCATGATTGGTTTGTTACATGAGCCCTGAAACAAGAGTGATGCCATTTCAGTTGACAGCAAAATGGCCGCCCCCTGGATGGACAAACGGGTGGATTTTACTGCTTAACTCATATTGCACAACCACAACATTAATCAGAATGTCGGCTTTAGCCCCGTGGGCCTCCATAGAACATATTAACGTCAAGGAAATGTTTGGGTTGATTTGCCCTTTAAATTACAATTCACTTTGTTTCAGCGTGTTTCCTAAACACCAAGTGAAGTGGCCTCCCGCGAGTTTGTCTTTGATGTGGCTGTCAGTGGACGTTGGGACATCCCCGCCAAACAAAACAACAAGCAGCATCCCGATACGATGCCTCCACCAGTTCATGGAACTTCCCCTTTGAAACCACCCAAGCAGTTGTGCCTTGTTATTGCTATAACGATCCGACTGCCCCCCCCCCCCCACCCGCTCACGAAAAGCTGTTTGAGCGTTGAGTCTCTTTCCTCGATATCCGGCCGAAGGTCACGCGAGCCCAGGCGCTGAGGCGAAACGCTCAAACCGACTTTTCAACTTGCCTCCCTGCTTGGCCACTCGGGCAAGAACAACGTCAACTGCGTGCTAAATAGTAGTTTGCCCAGCTGCTATTTAGGCGCTGACTTGGTGGCTGGCCCAGTGGAGCCCTTCTCAGCTTCCTCTTCTCCGTAGTTCCTCTGTGGCCCCGCTGTGTCGTGTGCTCATAACCGGCGGCTGACCTGTGCTATGCAGCAACACCACTAGCCTACATGCCCATGTCCACGTATAGCCAAAGCCGTTTGAGCATTCATACGTCGCCCCAAAATGCCCACCGGTAGTTTTGCCTCCCATGTAGATGTTCTCACTTTCGGGCTTATCATTAGTCAACTTTACGACTCCGTAACGAGTGTCAGAGCCTGAAGTGGAGAAGTGACTAAGGCCCGCCCAATATGGATTTAAAAAAATAAATTTCGGCTTATTCTGCTGTTTGGCGGAATATGATTCCGATAACCGATTCATTGGCCAATTATTTTCGAAATCTATAATCAATAAAAATAGCAAGAATTACACACCATAGTTTTTACTGATTCACAATACTATTTAACTTTATGACAGAGAAAATTCTGCCAAAATGAACAGGTTTTTTTTTTTTCATGTATGAATGTGAAAAAAAAAATGCTATCTTTGTCTTATGTTGTATTGTGTGAAAATGGAAAGTCTGCCAAAATCCGGCGTCCTTAATCGGTTGACATTCTGGAATTCGACTTGTTAACTTTTAGCTCAGGGGTGTCTAAATCGGGTCCTCGCGATCCCCAAACTAGCCTTTTTGACATGTTTGTGTGTTGGAGGAGGGAAAGATGTCAAACATGCTGGTTTGGGGCTCACGAGAATCGGACTTGGGCACTCCTGCTCTCGTGCTTCACTAGTCGTACTTGGAGAATGCAGATGTCAACTTGTGCACAGTTTTGTCTGACTGGTACTATCGGCATCTTGATTTTGATTTCGCCAAAACATCTGGAGGACACCTTTGGCAGACTAGCGTGACAAATTCATGTGACTAGCGCGGCAAAACTGCGCACTGGTTGACGGCTCTGTCTTCCTCGTACCGCTAGTGACATAATATCGCACTAGTGAACATCCGCTGCGTCACTCGTAGGGTGCAGACGTCAACTCATGCTCAACCGGCTTTCCGCAGTTAAGACACGTGGAGGACGCCCACCCTTGATGATACGTCACAAAATATGAAGACCTTTTTCTTTTTTTTTTTTAAATTGTGTACTAATCTGGCTCCCCCCCCCCGTCAAAGATTTCTCGTCATTGTTCCCCCCCAGACGCCCCGAATTGCTGCATGCTCCAAGCAGACGAGCCAAGCGGTTAGCACCCCGACTTCCTCTGTAGTGTCTTTTGTCCGTCAGCTCAAGTCTCGACGTGGTTCCAGTTTGTGGACGTGAATGTCTCAGTGGGCGCCACGACGCGTTTCTTTCCTTTTCCCTCGTCTTTGTCTCTGATGATTCCCCTCTCCTTCCCTTTTGTCGTTCTTTTTCCAGCCTGTGACGTGTCGGGCTCCGTCTGGACTCCTCGGGGTACTCGGCCGCCTTTTGGCAAATGAGCAGCGTGCCAAAATCTTCCACGCGTCACCTCAAAAATGCTCACAAAAGGCGGCCCCGTTCACGCTGACACCAGACGGGCCCGACGTGGCGCTCCAGAGGGATTTCCAAATCCTCTCGTCTCTCCTGTTTTACAATTTCAATGAGATTTTTTTTTTTTTTTGAAGTCCTTGTTCAAACAACTTGGAGTGGGCAAACTGGTCAACTCCCATTCAATCTCATGTCCAAGTAGTATGACATGAGACCCCATGGCGATTTTACCACACTGGCATGAAAACAGGAGTTCAGAACATTTTGAGGTTCGACCATATGGTGCCTGACAAGGTCAAACGCTGCAAACACAGAAATGATGCAAAACCAAAAACACGCAAACGCATAAAACAAATGCAGAAGGGAAACGCTTCAAAGACACAAAACCCCAGAAGGAGCTGCAAATTTACTGCCCAAAATGGGAAGAGTATTTTCCTTTTTTTTTAAACACACCACATTCTTTTCCAGTGCAGCGGTGCCTCGTTCCTTCACAAAAAAAAAAAACCAAAAAGATTAAAGTTATCTTTCCCCATTGATATGAATGGGAAAGCTCATAATATGTTCCAGCATCCAAAAAAAAGAAAAAAAAAACCCCACTAAAAATTCTGAAAAATAGCACTGGTTAATATCTGATCTTATGAAAACATAATAACATAATCAAATTGACTATTGATGATGCAACAGTTTGTACATTAAAGTTCTAATAGTTTTGGATGTTTCATTATAGTTAGATTTTATTTCATTCCGACTTAATTTGAAAAAGGCAGGTTTGTTCATTTTTATTATTATTTTTTTAGTGCTTCATTTTGGTTTCTATTTATGTATTTATTTATTTTAACATATGGAGTATTTGTGGAGTTCAAATTTTTTTTTTAAATGTCATCAAGTAATGTGTGATCAAATGAAGTAAACTACAATTCTCAAATGACCGTTCGGCCTTCTTTTTCTGTATGGCCTGACGGTAACACCAAAATAAATCCATTAAAAATAAATCCCAAAAGCTCACGTATGAAAAAAATTAACAAAGAGGATAACAAAGGACATTTTTGCGGTAATTATAGTTAGTTGTGCTCAGTTTTATAAACATCAAATATAGATTCAGTTAGTTATGTTTTTTTTTTTTTTTAAGCACTCTTGTTTCTATGTTATGTCGTTAACTGAAATGTTTTTTTCATCAAGGAAAATGTTCTTCTGTTGTGGGGATTGAATTTGCGGCATTGTGTTCTCCGACAGTTTAACTTCCAGCATTTTCCTTTTTGTTGAGTTTTTGCTTGTGCTTTGTTTCTGTGGTTGCAGCACTTTTCTCTTGCCGCCTTTCTCTGTTGTATTTGTTTTCTGTCTTCAGGTGTTTTTGCTTTTCTGGCACGTTTGGCCTTGTCAGCCACCGTAGTCCCATGCCATTTCAGTACTTTTTGGAATGGGGTCGGGGGGGGGAAGCAACTAATTGATGTCTCTATAGTTGATCTCAGAAATGTGCTCAAACGCCCACCCTTAGAAATAACTAGCTCCCTCTCAAGGTCCCCAGTTATTATTTTTTTAACAAGTGCAAAAAAAAAAAATTCCGAGGGTATGTGGATCTATGAAGTCACACAGTACTTGGTACACCCATACGTTTTTTTGTTTTGTTTTTTGTTTTTGGCAAGCTTTTCACCATAACGACACGTGTACCTCCCAGTGGCAAAGACTAAATTGCATCACTGGTAAACAAAACAAATATAGATATTTTTTTTCTCATCCGCTTTATCCTCATGAGGGTCGCGGGCGTACTGCAGGCTCTCTCAGCCTATCTTCGGGCAGTACGCACGGGACACCCTCAACTGGTTGCCAGCCAATTGCAGAGACCAACAACCATTCGCGCTCACAATCACACCTAGGGACATTTTGGAGTTCCCAATCAAACTGCCATGCATGTTTTGGTAATGTGGGAGGTAACCGGAGTACCCGGAGAAAACCTACACAGACACTGGGAGAACATGCAAACTCCACACAGGAAGGCCGGAGCCGAAATCGAACCCTGCACCAATGCACTGTGAAGCGGGCGTGCTAACCAGTCGCCCACCGTGTGTGCCTCTTTTTCTCGACGTATTTTCGGTCGGACAGGGTCATTAAATAAGTTTTAAGTTCCGTAAAAAACAACGAGAACGGCATTAAATGAGATGTTCTGCTAAATGCAGAAACCCTGTATTAGTGGCGCTTATCGAGGAGTCGCCTGTGTTATACTGCCCTCAGGTGGCCAAGCCGTGCACAATTTGTAGCCAATCTTTTTTTTTTTTTTTTTGCCACCGGGAAGTACCCTGGCGTTGATTGTGAACAAACACGATGAAAAGGTCAATCGCAAACGGTCCAAGTAGTGCAGGTGGCCTGATATCACTGCTCTGTTGGGATGTTCTTCAGCATTCTCTCTACGGAAGTCACAGCAGACGGTGCTTTTTTTTTTTTCCTCTTTCTCTCGCTCTCTCCCTCCCCTGCAGCCATCAAGGGCTTCTCGCCCCAGCACAAGATCACCAGCTTTGAGGAGGCCAAGGGCCTGGACCGCATCAACGAGAGGATGCCGCCGCGGCGGGACGCGCTGCCCTCCGACGCCAGCCTCAACTCCCTCAACAAGGCGCTGTCCTCGGAGACCAACGGCACAGACGGCAAAGGGAGCACCAGCGGTGGCGGCGGCATCCAGTAGAGGGCGCGAGCGGGAAGAGGTCGGCAGGGGACGCGGAGGTGGGGCGGGCCCGGAGAGGGGGCAGGCATGTATGGGTCACACCGGGGAGGGAGGGGGGTAGGGGGGAGGGCGGGATATCATGTCACTTGCTCGTCTTTGGATATGCCTTGGAATTGTTCGTCAAATCTTTTACGTTATTAGCCCGTGCGCGCGCAGTATGTGACGGAGAGACGCGTAAGAATGGCTCTTTCTTTTCTTATCCACTCGGGAGTCCCTTGATCATTTACCTTCTTACTAACTATTGTACGTTTACAAAAACACAGCACTAAAAAAAAAAGGACAGAACATGAGATGCCGTTTTTAAAGATGTAAGGGTGTACAAACTAAGTAAGAATTATTTATTGATTTTTTTTTTGCTCCTCTTATAAAATAGCTTTGAATGAATTAGGCAGTCTTAAAAAGAATGTTGTGGAAATGCCAAATATTGGAACGTTTTATCGTTATGTACATATGACGCTTACCTCAGGTTCTTTTGGTGTGTGCTTTGACCTGATTTTTTTTTCTTCTTCCGTTTTATGGCTCAACAACTCGATAATGAATACCTATTTTCTTGAGTTTCATAACTGGAATTTACATTTACTTATCATTTGCTAATATGTTCATTTGTTTGTCTCTCTTTTCGGAAGGGAAGGTTAGATTTATTCAGGCTTGCTGGAAGTGAGTGTTCATTTTCTCTTTTTAAGTATTACGAACAAAGTAAGAATAGACGGCCTATATTGTGTAAAAAGGAAAAAAGAATAAAGTGTCTGCCTATGCATGTTTTATAAAAAGTCAAAGAACTGAAGAAGAAACTGGGAAATCTAAATATTTGAACTATATTGCTCTTTAGTGAACATGTACTGGAAACATTTACCTGCATATTTTCAACGAACACCACGATGCGCTATGCCTTCTTTTTTTTTTTTTTTTCTTTTCAAGACGACGGCAACTCCTGTTTTTAAGCGGCGCTTGTACGTGCACACAGTCCAATTAAGCATGTTTGACAATTATTGTGAGGTGTGTGGTTACAATGTGGAGCTCAAAAATGCATGATTAGCCATTGGTGTCATAATAACAAGTTTCAAATTTTAAAAACCAAAAAAAAAAAAAAAAAAAGGCTTTTGTTCAGTTTTGTAAATGTGCCACAGAAATTGTCATTTGGTCCTTCTCCCCCTAATGATTCCCATTATTATTTGGAACTCTGCTTTGTTATATCAGTTACAGGTTTGATACTGCTCAGTACTTTAAACAAAACGATGTTGATCTTTTTTTAAGAAACTGCTTAAGTGCCCAAGTAATTCACTACACAACATGAAGCCTTGCTTTTTGTAATTTAACTTTGAAACTGTTGGCAGATGAGGCATGCACTTGCAACTATGAAAAATTAGTATTTTATATAACTGTTCAATAAAAATGTGCATGAATTTCAACTTAAACAATCCAGTTTGACTTGTTTTGCATCGACTACCCCCCCCACCCGAACTCTTTTTTTTTTTAACTAAATGTCCGATTGCTCAAGGGCCTTTCCACGGCAGAGACGTTTCAACGGGTGCTCCACGAGGGGGCGCTCCGACAACAAAGGCATTTGATCTTATTTACGACTCACGTTTGCGAGCCCGCAGCCAGACGGAGAGTCCCAGTGAAGTGGACTTTTGTCGTCAGTTGAAAGTCATTTGACGCCCGTTGCGCAGAGAGCGACCGGGAGGACTTCAAACCCATCACATGTGAGTCCGTGTTCGAGGAGGGAGGGATGAGGGCGACGAGGAGGAGGACTTGACTAACGAGAGCGGGAGGCGAAAGGGAGGGAAGAGGAAAGTAGCGTTGGCTTAGAATGGGGGAGGGGAAAGGAGGCCTGGGGAGTGACGAGGCAACAGAAACATGGATGGAGGACGAGGGTGGAAGAGGCCTCGTGGAGAATGAACGTGTGCGTGTCTGCAAGTATGAATCTATGCGCATACTTGAGAGAGAGAGAGTGAGTGTGTGTGTGTGTGTGTGTGTGTGTGTGTGTGTGTGTGTGTGTGTGTGTGTGTGTGTGTGTGTGGGGGGGTTACAGTGGGATGAAGAGAGGTGACTCTTC